ATAATGAACAGTTGCCAGATGCCATTTCGACAAACTACCACTGCTCTAAAATTGAATTGTAGTATATAATAGTTTTCAAAAATGGTGGCTCATTCTACAAAAAATCTAGATTTCTTTCAAATAGAAAAAAAGAGTACATCAAACTGTCAAATAGACCAGGACACGGTGTTTACTGATAACTGACGTAACTACGTATTTTGAAAGATAAAGCTCAGCACGTTTTAACCATCTTTAGTTTAAAAATTAACAAATTTAAAGAAAATATTATTAACTCACCCATGTTTAGCTTATCTAAAGATTAAAAAAAACCAATAGTTACAAACAATAAGTTTCTCGTTGGATTTAAAAAGTTAAAGTTACGGCTCTAGAAGTTACATTTTAAAGATTTTCATATTGCCATTAATTGTTTTAAATATAATTGAGTTGAGTAAATGTTAATTTAATAGAAGATAGGCTTGAATAAGTGCACAGTAAAAGAAAATTAAATCTGCCATATCAAATTTGAAAAATAGTTTCATTTGAATCTCTGTATCCGTTAAGAAATCATACAATTAAACGCCTTTTTTTGTAAAATATATTTTTACATATTTTAAAATGAACGCTATGAAAATAGATAGTTCGTCTGAAATGTCCCCAGAAAAACTTCAGCTATTTTTTATGTAAATTATATTCAGTTTTACAGTTTTTCCGTCAAATTAAACCGTTTTAATTTCAAATTAACTTCTTTTAATAACCCTTTTTAATTTCAAATTAACTTTTTCTTACTATCAATTAACTCTTTTTTTAAGTCTTTAAAAAACATAGGACATAGTATGAAATATAAGCGAATATAAAATAATTGAACCCTTAGAAGACCAAGTGAAAATTAGTTGATATTAAAATTTAAAATTATACAAAATTAAGTACGAAAGTAAAGGGGTCTTGTTTTAATTTGTCATTTTTTGCCTGTAAAATAAGTTGTTTAAACTACCACAAGAAAATTAATTAAAAGTTATATAAAATTTCATAGTTAGAAATATTTCATTTCAGGAATCTTCTTTTTTGAGAACTTTTTAAAATACAAAATTGGTTCTTATCTAGCATAACACATGAAAATTAATTATAATTAAAATTAAAGGTAAAAATTAAATATAAGAACAGGATTCTTCTATTAATTCGAATTTTATTTGAAATATAAAACAATTTTTTTATTGATCAATTATTTTATATTTTAAAGAAACTCTAATTAATATAAGAATCATTTTATCTCAAATTTAAAAAAAATCCTTCATTTTTATTTTTTATTTTATATAACTTTTAATTTTATTACAATTAATATTCATATGGCTTTCTAAGAGAGCAATTTATTTTACTTTTAAAAACAAATTCTCAAATATAAAGGAATTTTACTTTTACACGATTATATTTCATCCATCTCCTATGTTTTTTTAATGCTTTAAAAAAAGGGTTAACTTGAAATTAAAAACGGTTAGTCAGAAGTTAAAAATGGTTAATTTGAAATTTAAAAAGTTAATTTGAAATTAAAAGGGTAAATTTGACGGAACAAAAGCTATGGTCAAATAATTTCTTCCGTTGTAGAATTTTGTGTCATGACTTTTCCTAATTCAAAAGGAGGTTGTGTTTGGTTTTGTAATTAAAAATCATAAATGGCTACTTTAATTTGAAATTAAAAAGGGATATTTTAACTTTAAACAGGTTAATTTTAAGTTAAAAAGGGCTAATTTTAAAAGTATATAGTTTAAAAAGGTTAATTTCCAGTTAAAAAAGGTTAATTTGAAGTTAAAAACGGTTAATCTGACGGAAAAACGCTAAATATAAACTATGGTGATGATGTGAAAGAAAATCTTCTCAAATCCAATCGTTAACTGGAATTTCCAGAACTTCTGGCATGCCTGGAGGCTTCCTTGCAATAACGATTGCAATCATTCTCCAGGCCTGGAGCGTCCAGCTTACAAACATATGAAACACCGCTAAATTTAATTAAAACGCATAGTAATAAAGGTGTAAAAAAGTGGCACACAATATCCAATCTATAACAATAATCCAATAATTATAAATCGTTTCGAAAGTTCAACGTTTAATTATATCTTATCTCAAATGAATAATAGCCCGTTAAGCCATGGTGTATTTGATCATATTTGTTTTTGTCAATTGCTGTAATTTCATAAATCGTTTAAGAGTTATCAAAACATTAAATATAAATTTGAGTATTTAAAAATAAACAAAGCAATTACTTTGAAATGCTTGTTGAGTGGGTTTAGTTCAAATCTCTTTCAGATCTGAAGATAGCTATAAACAAAGCCTGGCAGTTTGTCACTCTTTACACTACAAAATCTCTCCTTTATTTACACTTGGATCTAGGGTACAAAAAAACCTCTTTTTTACCCTGATTTTGTAAAGAAGGAAAAAGTGATTACCAGGGAGGAGTTTTCTGGTCATAGGGCAGCAGGAAAATATTCGATTTTACAAGATGTCAAAAGAAATGGATTAAGTAAATTGACTGAATAAACGGGGCTGGAAATAGTTTTCTCGAGACCCAGTTTTATCGCAGGGGGTGGAGAAAACATGGCACCGTCTCGGCGGGAAACATCATCGAACATCTCCTAGACCTATGACCAGCAATCTCTTCATAGTTTTAAATCAATCCATTATTATTAATCTATTCGGTTTATAATATTAACCATTGTTTTTGTATACAATCCAAGCCCACTGGAGATACTTTGAACTAATACGTTTTATTCTATATGTTGGATGTCTGTTAACTTGAAGATTTTGTTGATTGGCTTCGAATTATTCTTTAGCATGGACTGTAGGTCTTTGCGAATTTGGTGGTGGGTCTGTCCTCAGTTATCATCTTAGAAATAATGATAGGAAATGAACAGATTGACATCGGTTTAAGCGATAATAAGTTTCAAGGATGTAGCTATGGGTGAGCCAGGAGTGGCCGATTCTAAATAAGATTTCTTTTTTTCCTGAAGGCCTGGAGAATGATTGCAATTGTTATTGCAAGGAAGCCTCCAGGCATGCCAGAGGTTCTGGAAATTCCAGTTAAGGCCTCTTTTGCCATCGAGTCTGCCATTTCGTTCTCAATTTTTAATTATATAAGAATATCCAAGATTGGATTTGAAAAGATTTTCTTTACTGTAATCATCATACCATCGCCATAATTTATATTTAGCTTTATCCGTCAAATTAATCTTTTTTAATTTCAAATTAACCTTTTTTAACTGCAAATTAACCTTTTTCAATTACAAATTAACATTTTAAAACTTTAAACTTATATTAACTCTTTTTAACTTCAAATTAACCTTTTTAATGTCAAAATATCCCTTTTTAATTTCAATTTATAAAATATCTCTTTTTAATTTCAAATTAAACTTTTATAATTTCAAAATAACATTTTTTAATGTCAAAATATCCCTCTTTCATTTCATATTAACCCTTTTTAATTTCAAATTGACATTTTTTATTTTTAAATTAACCCTTTTTTAATTTCAAATTGACCTTTTAAAACTGCAAATTAACTTTTTTTAAATTTTAAATTAACTTTTTTGTGTTAGTTAGTTAATTAGTTCAAATTAAACTTTTATAATTTCAAATCAACCTTTTTTAACTTTAAATTAACCCTTTTTAATTTCAAATCGTCCTTTTTTTAACTGCACATTAAGCTTTTTCAATTTGCAAATTACTCTTTAAGGACTTTAAAATTACATTCACCCTTTTAATTTCAAATTATTATTTTTTTAACTTTAAATTAATTTTTTAAAGTTTCAAATTGACATTTTTAAATTTTAATTAACCTTTTTGAACTGCAAATTCATTTTTTCAATTTCAAATTAACTTTTTTGAACTGCAAATTAATTTTTTCAATCGCAAATTAACTTTTTAAAACGTTAAATCCTTTTTAACTTTAAATTAACTTTCTTTTAATGTAAATGTATTCATTTTTCATATCAAATTAAACTTTTATCATTTGAAATTAACCATTATAACTTTCTACTCTTTGTAATTTTAAATTGACCCGTTTTAACTTCAAATTAACCCTTTCTTCAAAGCATTAAAAAATTTAGAAAACTGTATGAAATACAAGCATATAAAATAAAATTCTTGTATGTTTGCGGATTTTTGTTTTTTATATAAATAAGCGGTTTCTTAGAAGACCATATGAAAGTTAGTTTCATCCGTATAACGTTGCAGGACACTGATACGCAACGGTGCAGCGCACAACTTGCATCACGCAACGGGTCCTTTTCACCCATGATAGTTTTCCAGCAATTTCGTGAGATTTCCTCCAGTGTTGTTCGGGTTGACGACCTAATAATTGGTTCATTTATCAATTGGTCTATCCTCTCTGGTTCGGTCTATCAAAGATGATCTGTAAAGACATTTGTTCTTGTCCATCTTCATTTTTCCTCTCATAATAACTACCAAAAGTTCTATTTTCTTGTAATCTTCAGACGGTTTTTCCATTTAGCATTAGGACATTTGTTACTCCTTTACATCTTGTTTTTGGTTTGTTTTTAATCCTATTAAAAGACCGCGGACTTTTAAATAATTTTCAATGATTGAAAGTCTTCCGATTTCAATCGATTTTGAAACACCGATTTGTAAAAGAGTAAACAGTGAATGAGTGAACGATAGTCCAGAGACTGGCCCGATTCCGTACCATTTCTTTGGTATGGCAAGAAAAAAAAATTGACGGCTCTACACTTCTGACACGAGCAAATGCAAATACAAAAGAAACTTTGAAAATTATATTTATGAATGATATACTCACATTTCTTCCCTCTTCAGAATTAGTCATATCCTATCGTATCAACGATACTAACGCGAAAACGTCTCAAAGTAAAGTGTGATGTTCATTTTTTGTTTATGTACATAAAATAATTCCCATGTAATCTAATCTTATCACGAACAAAGGCTGACCAATTAGCCCTTATATTTACCTAGGTGTTTTATTTCTATTTTTAAAAAGTCATTAACGGATTTGTCCATTTCAGAAAAGGAAACACCGGACTCTTTGGACTATTTCTTCTTCGACTGCCCTACGAAGGCGTTGAAATTCAAAGTCAGAGCTCCCAGCGACGCCCATCTAGCTGTCTCTGGCCAACAGATGCAAACGAATCCCATGTTCGAGGTATGTGCTTTTCAGCATGTCAGCAATAGTCTTAACATCGCTTTTCTTCTACTGTACAATCTTAATATAGTGTGTCAAATAGTCAACTCGATGAGTGTTGTTTTGTACGAGGAGAAAGGAGCAGTTCGTACTGTCCAAAACCTCATCCGTTGCAGGTGTACACTCTTCTGGAACGAACTCATATTGGATAATCCTCAATCTTCGAACCAAGAAGAATGTTTCCAGAGGATCTTAAGCCAATATTGCCAGAGTTGGTCATCCCTTCAGATCCTTGTACGTTGCAGGTGTTCATCCTTCTGGAACGAACTCATGTTGGATAAGCCATCCCTTTAACCAAAAAAAAAAAATATTTCAAGAGGATCTTATGCCAATTTGTCCAGAGTTGGGTCATCCCTTCAAAACCTTGTACATTGCAGGTGTTCACTCTGATGGAACGGACTCATATTGGAACCAAAAAAAATGTTTCCAGTGGATCTTATGCCAATATTGCCATAGTTGGTCATCCCTCCAAAACGTTGCAGGTGTTCACTCTTCTGATTTAGATTTGTTTTTAATTGTTTAGACCCTCCCAGAAAAAGTATTAGGTGTCAAAACACCTCCGAAGAACATTTTTCGTTATACTTTGTTATTATTTAAACGTAGAAATAAAGGCAAACTGTCGCGTTATTATGTGCTATATTTGCGATTTTTGTATTGTGAATTGACTCTTTGACTGATGTTGGAACGAGATTGTTGCTGAATGAAATTTGTAAGTAGTAATTTTTTAATTACTCAGCTGTTGGCGTACCGTTTGTCCTTTCCTTAAGTTTTTACATTCTTTTTTTAATTTTCCACCTTACCAATCCGTCAACCAAGGTTTTCTCCTTTCCTTCATCAATTTCTTCGTCTTTGAAAAAAGTAATTAAAAAAGCAATTGCACCACTAAAAACGATATTAAATGGAGTACGTTTTCTGAAATTTGCCGGTCTCTAGGTTTGGAAATAGAGGTTTAGAATCTCCATAGTAAGTTTTTCAACTTTGAAAAAAACAAAAAATTTTTCGCTTATTTCACCAACGTTTACAAGTTTAGTATTGATCACATCTTATTGGAGATTTAACGTACTTTTCAATTATATCAACGGATCTTTCCAAAAAAGTTTAGATTTGGAGTTATCATTGTTTATTTGAAGCAAGGTATTTTCTGATATCTTAAAAAATCAGAAAAAGTGTAACAACTCCGAAACTGTTGAGATTCGGACCATAGTTAATTAGGACTTGTTGGTTCCATTTTGAATGTACAATCTACTGGCAAAGTTTGTAACACGAATAGCCGAACACCCTGTAGAGATATACTATACTATGCAAAAAATTCCACCCAACTGATTTTTTTTTTTTTCATTTTCTCTATTAAAGAAAATTCTGCCCTTCATTTGACTCATTGTTTTTATGAATAAATATTTGTTTATGCTATTTTTAAATTGGGAATATTAATTAGAGGTAAACACGCTTAAGCCTTAATCTGAAACAAGGATTAACGATTTTTCAATGTTTACTTTTTACGGAATTTAAAATGATTATTCAGTCTCATTTAAATACTGAAGCAACAAACTGTTTAGTTATCATCTTTGTATTCTTAATTTCAATTTTTAATCTTAAAATGCCACTTCGTGCTGAGGATGTTGCGCGTGGTGTGGCAGTTATTGATGATGGATATTCCATCAGGTATGCGGCTTTTGCCGTCGGAGTTCCCTACCAAACTCTGGCAGATGCCGTTTTCGAGAAATTGGGTCCTACCATAGAAGGCCTGGTTCTGGACGCCCTAGGGTAACAGAACCACAGGATGACCGTTTTTTGACATCGAGAATTTTGTGAAACCGGCACATACTGTTGTTCAAGCGATTCATTAGCTCAAGAAAGTTCGAGGTGTCCAAATTTCTGAACGCACTGCTTGAAGAAGGTTAGCAGTATGGACTGATGACTTTTCGCCCCGTAAGAGTACCCTAACACCCAAAGTTGCACGGTTAGCATTTCCTCGAGAACACAGCCATTGGTCTTTGGACGATGGTCTGCTGTACTCTATACAGAGGAGTGAAGATTTGCTCTACGATCTCCAGATGGACGTGAAAAAGTGTGGAAAAGGCGAAATGAAAAGTACGAAGCCTGTAATTTTCCCCAGAGTCAACCTTTTCACTGTAGCTCAGTGATGGTGTGGGCGGGAATTTCAATGGAAAGTCGCACAGAGTTGGTTGTTGTTCGCGTAGACCACCCGCTTTGTGGATGAAATTTTGTAACATCATGCGTTGTCTGTCCTCGATGAAATAGGCGACAATCCTTATCCCAATGCAGGATAAAGCCCGTCCACATGTCGCTCGCATAGTACAAACGTACCTTCACCAGCATAACATCAGGGTCTTAGCCTGGCCAGCAGATTTGAACCTCATCGAACATTTATGGGATAACCTCAAAAGACGAATAAGAGCACGTCCATCACTTCCTGAAACAATCCTATTCTTGAAAGCACTCTTCATGAAGAATGGGCTACCCTCCAGGAAAGATACATTTCCAGACTGGTACAAAGTATGCCTAGGCGTCTTTGAGATGTATTTAAGGATAGAGGAGGAAATACGCGATATTGAAATCTTAATTAAAAATCTAAAACAAAATTAAAACAAATTTTATCTGTCCGTCTTTTTTTAAATTTTTCTTATTTTTCATTTTCCTTAGCAATTTACATTTTTTTAACTTTTAACTTTTTTAACTTTTAAGACAAGTACTCAATTATTAAACGTTAAACAACGTGAAACTGATTAATATATAAAAATATATACAAATCAAGTTATATTACAAGTGGGCGGAAATTTTTGTCTGTCAGTGTACAATAAGGTCAAAAGTTATCTGGCGGCAAACAATTGGCTTATGATACAATTAAGATATTTGAACATTGCAGATAAAATACCCAGTCATTTTGCAAATAAATTTCTTTTTTCTTTTCAGGTATTCGTGGGCGGTTGGAAAAACTCGAAGGTTGCCTTTAGGAAAAACAGGGAAAAGCCAGAACTGTGCGAACTCGAACTCCCTGGAGTTCTGAGTGCTGACGAATACCGGGAATTCTGGCTTACCTATTACCACCAGACGCTGGCCTTCGGGGCCGGCGACAACCCGACTCCGATGCTCGTCTATACCGACCCCGTCCTCGACACTCTTCCCTTCGTCGGAATTCGAACATCTTGGGGTGCCTCTGGCTCTTGGCACGTCGACAGTATGTCATTTTCTCTATTTAACTAATTAATAAATCAGCCAAATATGGTACACGATTAGCCATGAAAAGTGATGCTGACATCCATGGTCTACTTTTTACCAAATGGGATTACTCGGTACAAAAGTAAACGAATCATTATGAACTGTTTATTTTGCCTACGATAGCTCTTAATTATCTGTAACTAATGTAGAAAGATAATGGATTTAATTTTAAACTAAATCAATTGAGTGGTGCGTTAAATTTATCAGTGTGTGTAGGAATTTTACTTTTCATGTTTATATTTCGTATGATCTCATAAATTTGGTAATGCTTTAAACAAATGGTTAATTTGAAATTAAAAAGGGTTAATTTGACGGAAAAAGGTATTGCTTTTGTAGTGTACTCCTAAACTTATTTTGATCTCTCCTACCAGACAGTGGCATAGGTCAATCCTCTTCAATCATTCCTTCCACCGGTTATGATTTTTGGCTTTTTTCTTCGCTGTCCAACAGGCAATATCACGAAGAAGCTTCAAAAATAGCTTTGTTTGAAAAAAAAGACACAAACAGCTATTGGACAAATCGGCGACGACCTGACTCCGATGATCGTCTATACCGTCGCCATCCTCCGTCGGAATTCGAACATCTTGGGGTGCCTCTGCATCGTGGCACGTCGATAATATGTCATTTTCTCTATTTAACTAATAAATAAATCGGCCAAATATGGAACACGGATTAGCCAAGAAAAGTGATGCTGACATCCATGGTCTACTTTTTACCAAATCAAATATTGCACAAGGCATCTAACTTCTCTTTATATTAATCGTTTTACTGCCATGTAGCAGATAATCCAGGAAAAATATAACTTGAGATCGGATTTTTATGCAGTTGCATATTTTGTTTGCCACCACATACGACCGAGGAAATCAATTCTTTCCAAATCATGTATCTAGGAAGCCGTAGGTTAAGTTTTATAGAGCATATTTTTGCATATCTGAAGAATATCGCATAAAATTGCATATTTGAACAATATCGCATATTTGAAGGATATTTTTGCATTTATCGCGCAAAATATTTAAAACATTACCTAATACCAAAAATCCATAAGTAACCCATAGCCCATAAACGTATTTCGTCACATTTTCAAATAAAACTGTGTACAGCAAGTCATAGTCGGTAGTTAACAATTTTGTCATAAATCTAGGCTAAAATTGCTAGACCACAGGGCATGAAACAATATTGCATAATATACGATGGAAAGCGGCGTCTTGTAAGTTGGTGGGGACGTGATGACCTTTGTTCACGCTAGTTTTCGTTCTACTGTTGTCTACTGACGTGGTGTATTTTATCCTCTAAAGAATATAAGCTAAAACGGCGATAAATAATGGGTAAGACTTTTTTTACAATTCATTTGACGATTGTAATAATCATGAAGTTTATCTTCGTATAACTGCCATTACTTCTTCGTTAGCGTTAGCGCCCGTAATTTAAGTTTTGTGTTTGCCGCAGTTATGTTAATTAATGTCAAAGTACTTTACAATTTAACATGGATTAAAGAAAAGTTGAAGTCGATGGCTTTTGTTATGTTTATATGTTTCGTGAAAAAATGTTTCTTTACTTTATTTTTCATTGGCTTTTGATTCTTGCAAGGGCAGGAGTATTCGGTCCCGGAACTCAGTTCTCACGGCCCTCCCACCAGTATCTTCCACGCTGAATTCCATACAGTTGAGAGATGCACCCAGTTCAATCTGAACAAAGGGTACAAAAACGAGAATAATAGATGTCAGATAGCCAAGCAGCAATCAAAACATTAAGCTCAAGAAAATCATTAGCTCAAAGATGGTGCTGAATTACAAAACTAAATTCAATAGATTAGTTATGCAAAATAAAGTTACACCCTGCTGAATCCCAGACATGTCAGAGGGCAATGAGATAGCGGACGCCCTTGCAAGGAAAGTGGCTGCTATACCGCTGGAGCCCTTCTGTGGCATAAGAATTCACATTTTCAATGAGTGTCTTAAACAAAAAAGACAAAAAGAAAATGAAACAGTGGAATGTCATTGGACATAAACAATCCAAGAACCTTCTATCAAATTTTGGAAGAAAAGAAACAATGGAATCAAAGGAGGCAGGAATAAACTTTGAATCCTGACAGTATTGTTCACAGGACAATGCAGTCTGAATGGACGTCTGAGGTACTATAATACAACGGCACGTGTACATTCTGCAAAGAAGCACCAATACACCTACTAATAAACTGTGGTGCCACATTTGCATGCTGGAGGAAGAGTTTTGCCTGCTAGTTTAAGTTCCTTGATGACCTAGTACTCACCAGTGTGCTATAAGCACAGAACAGGGTATACAGTAGCTCTTAAGGGGTGCAGTAACTACACATCCTGAATGATACAATTATATCTACATTTTTGTAATAATATATTCCAATGTCATGGGAAATTGCAAACTTCCTGAGTGTTTTTTTTTGTCTTAGGATCTTTGCATATTAGCCATGACGAATTCTTATAGATGTTGTTCAAATTGGGGGTTATCGGGAAAAAAGGGCCAGAGGCGACGGTGGGAATCGAACCCACAACCGTGGCGTGAGAGTCTCTCATGCTAACCACTCGGCTACCGCGGTCCCCCTGACTTCCTGAGTTCCTTGTGAGCCACATTATTGAACCAAAGAACAATTTTAAAAAATTTACACAGCAAGGTTATTTGTAAAATCAACACAGATCTTGATTTTAGGACTAAAGCCATACTGCATGATTTATTTTTGTTGTAAGAAATATTTTAGGTAAAATTTGTTAAATGGCATTTTGTTTGGCTACGATTACTTTCATTCAATATTGAACCATCTCTTCTTAGCTCACTTAGGCCATGCTGTTCTTAGTTCATACATGTTTAGAATTACCAAAATAAAAAATGTGGTGAATCTTGTTTCCAAGAAGAGCTCCTGCTCCTGCGGGGTGAAGAAGCCCCTAACTTGGTCATTACTGATCATTTTGGTCTGCCTATCCTCACTAGATTAGTCTGTCAGAAGTGTTTCAGCATTTCCTTATCTTTAGTGTGTTCTTCAACCTTTCCTCTCAAGCCTTGCAAGATTAATTGGCGCTGTGAGAAATGTTCACAGTCCATTCTCAGCTTATCTTCTGCTTTAGAGATTTCTCTGATAGTTGGTTAATTTGGGTCCTGTCTGCAGAGTGCCAACCCACTTCCTTTACAAAGGCTTCTAATAGTTCATTAAATGTAAAAACAAATGATTCTTCATGAACCTTTTATTAAAATATAAAATAATTATTTTATAGACCAATTATTTTATATTTCAAAACAGTTTGTTTTTTATTTCTAATTTTAAATAACAATTATTTATAATAGCAATATTTTTTCATATGGTATTTTATATAAGAACGCATTTTATTTATTTATTTATTTTTTAAATTGTCAAATTAAAAGAAGATTCCTTTATTTTTTTATTTTAGTTTTTACTTAATTATGATTAATTTTCAAATGATCTCAGAGCCCATTTTATTTTATTTTTATTTTTAATGCTCAAATATACAGGAATTTTATTTTACATGCTTATATTTCGTACCATCTCCTAAATGTTAAAAGAGGGTTAATTTGAAGTTAAAAAGGGTTAATTTTATTCTTCAAAATTTAAAGTGACCAATTATTTTATATTTTAAAAAAATCTCAAATGAAAAATTCAAGAATCATTTGTTTTTATATTTAATTCTATATAACTTTTAATTATAATTTTAATTAATGTTCATGTGGTTTTTAAGTGGTCGATTATTTTTTGTCTCCTAAGTTTTTTTATTGCTTAAAAGGAAGAGTTGGTTTGAAATTAAAAAAAGGTTAATTTGGAATTAAGAAGTGTTATTTTGAAATTAAAAAAAGGGTAATTTTAAGTTAAAAAGGGTTAATTTGATGATTCAAGACTTTATGTGACCAATTATTTTATGTATTTAAAAAAACTCGAATTAAAAATAGAAGAATCTTTGTTTTTATATTTAATTCTGTGTAATTTTTAATTGTAATTGTAATTAATTTTCATATGGATTTTATATGGTCAATTTTTTTTTATCACCTAAGGGTTTTATAACTTTAAAGAAAGAGTTAGTTTGAAATTAAAAAGGGTTAAGGAGCAGCTAGAAAAAGTTAAATTTGAAAGTAAAAAGTTAATATTTAGTTAAGAAGGGTTAATGTGTATTTAAAAAGGGTTAATTGATTAAAACTGGTTCATTTGAAAATAAAAACGGTAATTTTTTTTAGTTGAAAAGGATTAATTTGAAATGAAAAGGGCCTAATTTTAGTTGAAAAGGATTAATTTGCAATGAAAAGGGCCTAATTTTAGTTAAAAAGGGTTAATTTGTAGTTAAAGAAGGGTTACGTTGTAGTTAAAAAGTGTTAATTTGAAGTTAAAAAGGGTTAAATTGTAGTTAAGAGAAGTTAATTTGACGGGAAAAAGCTATATTTATGACGCACACTCTTAATTAATTTGTATATTAAAAAATTAAATTTAAAAAAATGTTTTTGTAACTGCTTCTTTTATAGATGGAGGATGGTTTTATTTATTTCGTATATTATGCAACATATTTTTTTTAATAAATTCTTCATTTAAAAATGAATGCTATGCATTTCAGGGCTATGTCTGTCCTCCTCAAATAAAGTTTTCTTTGGAGAAGTTTTTTTATTACTCTATAACTATAAAATAAAGAATTACAACAGCCCATAGATCTAGTGTTTATATATTTATATGATTTAATTTGTCTTTTAGATAATTGGCCTGGTTGGAAAGTAGCTGAATCTCAACCGGTCGGATGGGTACCTCCTCCTGCAGATGCTCCCCCTGCCACACCTGGGGGTGTCCCTGTGTGGAAGCCTTGTTCTGGAGGGACATTGTTTCCTGATGCAGTTGAAGGAGGATTTGATAATGAAAAAACCTATGTTGGACGCGCACTACACAATGGAGCCACGATTCCAGGAAAAGTACTTCCATCGCATGGTGTCTGTTATGTAGCTTGGGGAGGAGAAGAACATGGTAAAACAGAGTATGAGGTAATGTTGTTGCTGGGACAATGCGTTTTGGTTTCGTTCTAATTTTTTCTCTAATGTCTGTTTGTTTAGGTCTTAACTGGGTGCTGTCCCAACTGGGTGCCAGCAACTGGTGATCAAATCCCGATGAATGCCTTGCAAGGAGGAGTTAGTGAAACAGGTGAACCGCTGTTTGTTGGCAGAGCTCAACACTTAGATACTCTCACTGTTGGAAAAGTAAGTGCTACATTTTAATAATAGTGTTAAATGGAGTTAAGACTCAAATTACCAACTAAATTAACCTTTTTTGTTACTTAATAAATATAAAGTATGAAGTGGAGTGAATGACATGCGATGTGACAAAAGTCTGAAGGGTGACAAAAATGTGCGACCAACCTCCAGCCCTAACCTCAATCCAGCTCTCTTATGCTAAAAATGCAATTAAAACCATGATTAAAAGATATTGAAAGCATTGATAAGCTGAATGGGCAGAAAAGCTCTCAAGTATCAAGTGCTCAAACAATAAATGGTTTTCAGAGGATCTTAATAGAAAAAAATGGATCACTTATTTGAAAAAAAAATGATTCTATGTACAAACTGTATTTAGCAGCAATCTGGGTTTCGAACGATATATGGACATCACCAGGCAGAAATATACAAACATGTCTCTCAACGTGAATTGTTGGAGTGATTTGCAAATCCGACATTTCAATCATCCATCAATCTATTAGAACATGGCAGTGTATTTGCAAGTCACTTCTACAATTCACGTTGAGATTTGTTGATTTATGCCTTATGGTAAACATTTATTGTTTGAATTCCGGATTGCTGGTAAAAACAGTTTGTGAGCAGAACCATCTTTTCCAATAAGTGAATCGACATATTCGATATACTACCTCAATCATTACTAAAAACGGATCATACTTGACTAAAAATAGGCCATGTGAAGTTGACACATGAACACTTTTGGGCCAAAGCCTGTGTATGTTTCCAACATGTAGAGAAAGGTTGCTCAGCATGTCCAACATAATTGAATGGGGTCATTCGTTCTCCATATAGCGAAAGTGTAGATTTGGTACACGATATAAGAATTGTGCAGGAGAATTTGGGTCATCGGTTCCTATTTTTGGACAAAACAAAACAGTACTCCAACACCCTATTTGAGTGAATGTTATATATATAGCAAAGAATGTATTTAAGAAGAATGGGTTTAGATATAAAAATTACATGCATTCGGGGCTGAAATTACTTAGCTTTTGATAACTCCTGGAGCTTAACTTCAGCGCTAGAACGGATAAAACCGAGGTCTGAGCCCGAACTGCCAAAACCCACCAGAAGTCATAAGTTCTTATTAAATTATCTATGAATTAATGATTTTTTAAACAATTTAGCTCATTTTTAAGACTTCCTTTCAAATACACACAGTTTTCAAGACAACTGAAAGTTTAGAAAATCGAAATAGTAAAATGTTTCACTTAAATTTTTATTAAATTTCAATCTTTAAAAAATGCATTTATAAAACTATTTATTTTTTCTAGGTACAACCAAGTCACAAAGTGTGCTACATTTCTTACGGTGGTGAAGAAATTGCAAAAGATACTTTTGAAGTACTCGTTCTCTAAACAGAAAAGGAATCGATGCTTTTCAGAATATATATGAAAATCTTGAAGGCTAGAAATTAATGTTTAATAAATGAATGATTAATTTAAGCACTTATATTCATTTATATTTTATTTGCATTTATTAAGCTTCAAATGCTAGTTAACAAGTAATTTAATCAAATGTAAATTAAGATATTAAAATATGTTGTGTTGACCCAGTAATTTTGTTTTTTTAAATTAAAATTTATTCATTTGTGAATAACAAATTTACTTTATTCCTTTCAGAAGAAGAACTTATTAAATATATGTCATTCTTATTAGCACATATGCAATGTTACATATTAGATGAGTGATTTAATGAAAAAATCACAAATTTGCTGAATTTGCTTTAACAACTAGCACTTAATTAATAAAGTCAATTCATGACTGTTTAGAATTCATTTTGGTAACAAAAATTTGTCAGCAATTTACATAGCATTTCGCAAGGAAAGTTTCATACTTGTAACATGTGTAAATTTTAATTTATATAAAGTAATATTGAAGGTAACTTTATTTCTTCCATTTATCCCTCCTATTACACAATTTGGCTATAATTGAATTTGGAAACTCTTCCATTTTCCGAAATATGTTAATAATAAAAAGTATTGATAAATGTTTCTATTTTGTAAAATGAAGGGAATACTATTGCGTTTTGTGTACAGATGCATAAAATTTATATTTTTGTAACTTTAAGTTACTTTACAAAGAACTGTCATATCATAATTTAATTTTTATATCATTTATGTAAAAGCATTGGTTTCATAATGTAACATCATTGTCTTCTTTTTGTTTCAATTTAATTTATAAACCTCAATTAACAGTGAAACATGTTTTTTAACTTTATGAAAACTTTAATTTGAATGAAACATCAAATGTGTAAAATAATAGTCAAATATGTAAATTGTATTCTTTTAATATAAATTTTACAAATTGTTGTAAGATTTAATTCAAATCAATGTTTATTTTGTTGGTTAACTCGGCTTATTAGCAGAAATTGTCAATCGAGCAAATAAATAAGTTATCAATAAAGAACACAATTATTTCAACACAAATTATATATTAAAGAAATTCTTCCACAAAAAAAAAAATCATTTTTTGATTCATATCAACATGTGATTTGTATACTTCGAATGATCATTTAGGTTTATTTAAATTTTTTTTTGCCTGGGGAGCGTTTTCTTGTGACTTGGAGGGGGCTTTTGGAGGGTTCTGCTCAATTGGTTGGGTCGGTTCTACAGTAGGTTTAGTAGTGCTTTTAGAAGACTGTTCAACATTGGCCAAGCCCCAGTCTTTTTGGTAAGCTGCGTATTCTTCATCCCGGTTACGCGCTTTACTGGGACCTGCTGCCGCAGGGTCTTCACTGCCTTTTCTTATACGCCTGTCAGTATCACCAGCCACTTTTACCGGTACCGTCCCACGGGGCTGTGTGGCGAGTGCTTTTTTCTCCGGAGGAATTTTGGTGTGGGGTGTCATTTTTTGCAAATCTTTTTTCTTTGGGATTGCCTCTTTCAGCGGCAATGGCCCTGTCGGACGAGGAGTATCTGGCAAATGACTCGACGCCGTACCAGGTACTTTTTTGCTCCCTGTGTTAGTATTTCCTTTGGTGTTAAGTTTCTGTGGTTTGTTTTGTTCTACAGCATAACTAACTTTTTTAACAAATGGCATTTGATATGATACTTCTATATCTTCATCCCTTTGATTCAGTGGTATCTAAAATAAAATTGAAATTTAAACATTTTTTAATCCAAAGGCCATCAACACTGGTTAGGGATCAGGGGCCATCAATAACAAATTGTTAAAGTAAATTTAAGTTGACAGTTTGTCTTGTTGAACTAGGCTAAACAACAGGGTAGTTTGAAGTTAAAAAGGGATAATTTGATTATGAAAGGTTTTAACTGGCCAATCATTTTATATTAAAAAAAAATCTCAAATTAAAAATACAAGAATCATTTGTTTTTATATTGAATTCTATATAACTTTTTAATTATGATTGTAATTAATTTCATATAATTTTTAAGAAACCCATTATTTTTATCTCTTAAGGTTTTTATTGCTTTGAAGGAGTTAATTTGAAATTAAAAATGGTTAATTTAAAGTAAAAAAGGTTAATTTCAGGTTAAAAAGGTTACTTTGATGTTAAAAAAGGTTATTTTGAAATAAAAAAGGGTAATTTCATTATTACAGATTTTAAGTGGCCAATTGCTATATTTTATTTTAAATCTCACATTAAAAATTGAAGAATCGTTTATTTTTATAATTAATTTTGTATAACTTTAAAGTAATTGTAATTACATTTCGTATGCATTTTAAGAGACCAATTAATTTTTTATTTAAAGAGAGTTAATTGTTTTAATTAAAAAGCGTTATTTTTTTGTTAAAAAGGGTTAATTTGTAGTTAAAAAATGGTTAATTTACAATTAAAAAGGATTCATTGTAGTGAAAAAGTGTTAATTTAAAATGAAAAAAGGTTAATTTACAATTTAAAAAGTTAATTTGTAGTTAAAAAGGGTTAATTTGACAGAAAAAAAGCTATATTAATGAGGCAAAATTTTAATTTTCTTTTTTTTTTCTTTTTTTTTTTGAAAAGTAAAATATAAAATTTTAATAAAGCTTTTACTACATGTGGTTGCTTTTTCTTTTATAGATAGATGTAGGGTGGTTTTATTTATTTCGTATTTTATGCAGCATATTGTGCAACATCCAAAATTTAAAACATATACTTGCAAATGGTTTTCAAAATTGTTGTTAACAAACAAATAAAATTCAGAAAAGCATAATGTAGTTAACTTTTTAGTATGTTACTAAGTCAAAAATAGCAGTGAATGAAGCCTTTTTTGTTAGTGAAAGTATTAAAATAAATATATTTGAATAAACCTAAATATTTGTTTAAGAAATATACACCTTAATATAAATAATATTTGGTCAGGTGAAAATTGATTCAGTATTATACATACCTGCCATGTTCCATCTGCAAACTTATTATGGGCCAAGTCCATTAACGTTGAAGATACTGAAGTAAAATATGCCATCATCTCCTGTTTTTGTTTTGCCTCATCTTCATCTTCCTTGAATTGGCGCATTTTACTTCTTGGCTTGAAAAACTAATAATAATCATTCATACATAATTATAAATTTACATTCAAAAGTATGTATAAATTTATTTTCAAAAATACAACTCTCAACGATAAAATGAGACATGAAATTTTTTTTTTCCATTTTAATATATAAATTCTAAACCTTTAAGTTTTAATTTGTTTAATTGGAAGACTTTAATATTTTTTGCTTGTTTTGTGCGATTATTGTTAAAAAAATTACAATGAAAGATACATAAACAGACAGTTTAGTAGTTTAAGACTAGCAAGGCAGAAGCACATTATTTAATAAATATAAATAAAAAGTCAGAACTTTTTGGAGCAATCTGGGGGAAAAAAATCATTAAGCAAAAATTTGTAAGTTTGTCTAAGCATTTATCATATTTGACTGACCCAATCTGCCTTCACTGTTTTTGCCTGTCGGATTTGCTTTGGAACAGTGAGAATGGACAGACGAGACAATTGGAGATGATGAAATCAAGCTCCAAGTTCATCGTTTCACAGATCTCATCACAATATTTCACAAATCATGAAATACCGGTGAGAGCTGTAATAAGCAAATGCATAAATTGTTCATATATTAGGCGCATAATAATAAAAATAAAAATTAGGATACCTTTTACAGCAATTATTTTGTAATTTTGGTATCTGAACTGGAAAAGAAAAAATTGAGTTGATTAAATTTTTCACAATAATATTATAAATATGCTGATTTGGTCAAAAATTATTTGGCATTTCCAATCATCCTGATCACTAGAATAGCAATGGATAGAATAGGTAGCAGATAATAGAATAGAAGATAATAGAATAGGTAGCAATGGTAGAAAGCATGGGCTGGGATAAATAACAACAAGCTAAGGGATATAAAGTGGAATGTTGCACCCTGGAACTCTTCTTGCCTAGCGACAAAATAGAAAATAGTCTTGACTCGTCTGAGAATAGGGCACTATAATCACTCATGGATATCTAATGGCTAGAGAATCAATAAAGTTGATGAGGTTATGAGTGTTAAGGTGAAACATAACCCATAGACGTTGATCGCCCTTTTATTACTTAAACAGATAAATAAATAAAATTTGCTTCTTTTGTTGCAAAAATAGATGAAAATTGTTTAATTAAAAATGGTGTAGTGATTTTTGGTTAATACATTACAAAAAATTGCTTTTCAATTTTTATAAGGGGAATTAAAAGCTAACATTCAATTGGCATATTTTAATTACAATCTAGGGGCAACGTATATGCAGACGAGGCCGCAAAAGACGAGATGTTTCACCCTTCAAACCAAACAACCACATTCCAGCCCAGTTACCTGCACGAGCAATAAAGTACGTAATAAAAGAACGATGCCAGCATCAATGCGCTAGATGGCATATCAAGAACGCGACTGAGAGATGACCCACTGATTGTCTGAAATGCAAGTTGTGTTCACCCGTTTGAGATAGGACATACACGGTTGACACAAAGACACCCGCTTTTGGGGTGAACCCGTCAAAGGTGCAGCTCAGTGTGTCACACTTGGTCAAGGAGTGCCATGCCACGACCCCTTATAGGGAGCGAGTAGGCATTATACCTGATACAAATACTTGAGCATGAGAGTGTGTTGTCGGGTCCCCTGTTCAGATTTTTAAGGGAAATATGTATTTTAAAAGATTGTATAATATAATCCCTTATTGTATAATTATTGTATGTAATATATTTATATAGTTCTGTGTCTGCGTCTAAATGAGTAAGAGAGAGGGTCGATGGAGTACTCGATATTCCACCAGGGCATAGGGAGCTGACATGCCTCCATTGTCGGTAAAGAAAAAAAAATGACACTAAATGATACATAAGATTTAACAGAGTTTACGCAAAAACAATCTCCTCCTTTGAAAACAAGTTCGTAAATACGGAAATCTTTAAGTTTTACAGATGAATTAAGGGTGTAAATTATACGAAGTTTTAAGTCAGCCATGTTTTTTGACTGGAAGATTCCAATTTTCAAGCATTTATCCGTAAGTTTAAGGAGAAGCCTATTTCGATTATATCAAAAATAATATAGAATTTAGCATTGGTAAACAAGCCAATTTATAAAATTAAAAAATCAAAGATACCTTTCATGGAAATGGTCTCCAACTTTCAGCATCTCAACTAAAAAAGAAAAAAAACGCTTATAAATATTTCATTATGTCACATAATAATTATCAAGTAGATTAAATCAAATATGCTTTAAATAATTTTAACGGACATTTTATTAAGTGTGATGAATGTATAAAAATATGTTAAATGAGAAGTTTACAAATCAAACCGAAGGTTAGATGGCTTTGCAAGTTTGGATGTAAAAAAGCCAGACGAAGTATTAAGTCGCTCTCATTGTTTTAAGTTAAATATAACATGAACGATAATAAAGCATAAATTTTCTACTTCTATCTAGTTTTGATCGCTTTCCCATTCAATTTTGTCTTGTAAAATTTCTCAGATTCAGATTTAAAATTAAATTTGTCATATTAATATACAAACCTTTTTCCGATATTTCCAGCTTTTCCCCCCCAAGAGAAAAATCCTCAATTGTAAGTCGCTCTGAAGAAATTATGGAGACTCGATTTACAGTATAACATTTTGTTTATATCATTCTATTTTTTTAAACCCTCATCCGAAAATAAAAAGCCGAAATGAAAATTTTGAAAATAACAATAAAAATTTCGGGAAGAAATTAAACAATGATGTCAACGTGCCATTTAAAAAACAAAAAGTGGATAAAAAGGTTGTTGTAGCCATAGTAGCGAGTAATAAAACATATGACAAATACCTAAATTTTTTACTAATAAAATCGACTTTGTGCGTTTACCGTGCTTTCTAAATTATGAACAATACTATTAAAAACATAATTATATATTTTTATGAGATATGATTTATTTTACCTAGATTTGAATTTTTATTTAATTGTTTTTTGATCACCATTGTATAAAGTTGGATTCATTCAATTTATAGATATCACATGCACGATCGATAAGGCAATATTTTTTTTTTTTTTTTTTTATACCAAATTTGGGCTTGTAGAAACCTAAATTCACTGAAATGTTTGACTATTTAAATTTATCTGAGTACATGCAGATCCAATGTATAAAATAGGATTGTAATGAGCCATTTTAAAAGGGAATTATTTTATTTGTATATTTACATGTTATGGTTATACTTCAAATACAGTAAGTAAACAAAGTCCTTGTAATTTTTGTACTTAGTTTAAGGCCCATTTTCACTATTCACATATTGTTGATCAATGAAAAACAATTAAAATTAAAAACATTCAAGTCCTGTTCAAGTTGAAAAATGATTTCAAACATGTGTCCACATCATCCGAACATGTTTCTGTCGGCAGAGAAGAAATTTTCTTTTTGGCATTAATGTTCAGTTATTTTAGCTTGGCCCACATCAAACTTGACTTTCGAAATTTCTTTGCATTTTGATCCAAAAAATGTAAGGTCGGCGTGGTGATGAACATGTAGATTGGTCCTTTCTGAAGGGAGATGAAAAAGCAGGGCAAGGGAGTAAAGTCGTTTCCGGCCGTTTTGGTCTGACTTGCATCGTTGATTTGGCAGGACAAAACTACATGCAACTATAGGAAACTAGTCACAATAATAGCATATCAAAGTCAATCGATGCAGCAAATTAAGCGAACCGGTCTTCCATGACAACTGGAAGTCGCCCTGGTGGCCACCGTCCGCCTTGTATTACTCTCCTGACAAGCAAAGCCTTTACTTGATCCAACAAGGGGCCAATGCAGAATTATGTATTCAACAGTTTGAAGGTGGTTTGAGCATAGACATCTATTAAGATGAAGCTATAGGCTTTCATTCTACCAAGACCTCTGAGGATTTGCGTCCTTTTGTAGCTAGCTGATGCGTTCCAACGAAAAGAAGCCAGGTTTTGGACTCGTTAAGGTTCCATTTTTGGAAGTATTCTTTAGCATACCCCACCTTCACTATTTCTAATAAAATTCGGTGCCTAGAGAATTCATATTGGCTCCTTTTTTGGCCAACATATCTGCCCTCTCAATGCCACTATGTCCCGAATGATCAGGACTAGCCATCTCATTGGCTTCTATCTAGGGTTTAGGCCAAACTTTTTTTGGTGATTCTACACTCTAAACTATCGGGCACGTATCTGCCACTTCTTGTGAATAGGTCCTGGTTTCGCCAAAAATAATTTTGAAAGTTGAAATTTACCGTTTTTGAAAATTTTTATTTAGCCATTTTACTTGCTCAAATCGACTAGGTGAATTTGACTGCATTTTAGCCATTTTACTGCATTTTTATGTGGATTAAAATAAAAATATAGTAAAAGCTATCAAAGTTTATCAATAACAAACATTTCTAAAAACCAAATTCCTTTAATTAAACTAGGTCACAATTTTTTTTCTTAAAACATATGAATTTTCGTTTTAGCACCTCTAGAGACCCCTAAATATAAATTTTTGTTTGAATTTAAATTTATCCATTTTTTGCCCCCTAAAATTTTGCCGATTTTTAAGAAGTCGGGATATCTGATTGAAATTAAAAAAACGACTAAAATGATTTTAACGTCAAATATACCATTTGAAAGAAGGTGAATGTAACTTTTTAATGACGCATGTACCATGAAAATGTATAAAAGATTTCTATTAAAAAAATACACAAAATAACAAAATTATTTATCAGAAATTAACCTCATTTTTTAAATTGAAATAATAGTCAGATTTTAATGTTTGATGCAGTTATAAAATGCGTTTGACAATTTGTTTAAAAATCATTAAAAATTTGCCATGAAAATCGGCTCACTAGCTTTGCAGAAAAATGATCCTTTTTTATAACGTAAGTGCCATTAAAATATATAAAGTATTTCTATAAGAAAATGCACAAAATAAAAAATAAAAATATACTTGTCAGAAATTAATCTTGTTTTTTAGTGAGAAATAATAATCCGATTTTAATGTTTAATAAAGTTCTAAAATGTGCTTGACAATTTCTTTAAAACAAATTATCAACCATGAAAATCGGTCCACTAGCTTTTGAGAAAAATGATGTTAGAGCTTGCACTAGGAGTTAGGCTTCTAGGTCGTCGAAAAAAAAGTTTGGTGCAAATCCGTGACCCACCAACCTGGGTCGTCTCCTTGTTAGTATACCATTGGTTATACAGATGACTTAATAGTCCAATAAACCTATAAACCATTCCAATAAACTATGCCTATCTAAAAAGGAGCTTTTGTCAACACCTCGTATAGAAAGAATGGTATAGACCCTCACAACCCGCAGGATATTAACAATGCTAAGAAGTCAGATAATAAGCTCTGATTTATACAGGTTATACAGTCTATAAGTACAGCTTATACTTATCCATAACACCCACCCAAGGATGCCCCAAGGACCCTTCTTCTATGGTTCCACGTAGTACATGACCTAATCTTAGGATTCCATACAATAGGTTAGGTTATGCAGATTACTTGGTAAGCAATCAATAAAATTTTCAGATGAGATTCCACATTTTTGGAGTAAAATGACTTAGGAGTACCATCAGGGGTAGCTTTTAGAAAAATGATGTTACAGCTTGCGCTAGGAATGGCAAGAAGGTGGTCGAAATTATCAGTCAAAAAATTAATTTACACCTTTTTCCGCGAAAGTCAGTATCTAAGGGTTTTATAACACTGAAGAAAAAAAATTGTTTTGGTTATTGATCAACTTTGATAGCTATTACTCCATTTTTATTGCAATCCACATAAAAAATGCTGTAAAATGATATATTCACATAGTTGATTTGAGCAAGTAGAACGGCGAAATAAAAATGTTCAAAAACGGTAAATTTCAACTTTCAAAATTATTTTTGGCGAAACCAGGACCTATTCACAAGAAGTGGCAGATACGTGCCCGATAGTTTAGAGTGTAGAATCACCAAAAAAAGTTTGGCCTAAACCCTAGATAGAAGCCAATGAGATGGCTAGTCCTGATCATTCGGGACATAGTGGCATTGAGAGGGCAGATATGTTGGCCAAAAAAGGAGCCAATATGAATTCTCTAGGCACCGAATTTTATTAGAAATAGTGAAGGTGGGGTATGCTAAAGAATACTTCCAAAAATGGAACCTTAACGAGTCCAAAACCTGGCTTCTTTTCGTTGGAACGCATCAGCTAGCTACAAAAGGACGCAAATCCTCAGAGGTCTTGGTAGAATGAAAGCCTATAGCTTCATCTTAATAGATGTCTATGCTCAAACCACCTTCAAACTGTTGAATACATAATTCTGCATTGGCCCCTTGTTGGATCAAGTAAAGGCTTTGCTTGTCAGGAGAGTAATACAAGGCGGACGGTGGCCACCAGGGCGACTTCCAGTTGTCATGGAAGACCGGTTCGCTTAATTTGCTGCATCGATTGACTTTGATATGCTATTATTGTGACTAGTTTCCTATAGTTGCATGTAGTTTTGTCCTGCCAAATCAACGATGCAAGTCAGACCAAAATGGCCGGAAACGACTTTACTCCCTTGCCCTGCTTTTTCATCTCCCTTCAGAAAGGACCAATCTACATGTTCATCACCACGCCGACCTTACATTTTTTGGATCAAAATGCAAAGAAATTTCGAAAGTCAAGTTTGATGTGGGCCAAGCTAAAATAACTGAACATTAATGCCAAAAAGAAAATTTCTTCTCTGCCGACAGAAACATGTTCGGATGATGTGGACACATGTTTGAAATCATTTTTCAACTTGAACAGGACTTGAATTTGTTTTCAAGTCAGTTTTCATTGATCAAATATATTTGAATCGTGAGCTCAGGTGGTAGAGCAGCGGCGTATCAAGCCGAAGGTCGTGGGTTCGAATCCCTCTCGTGCCATTAACTTTTTTTCATCTCAACTAAAAACCTTAATTAATTGTAATGTTTAATTGGTCAAGCGGACCACGAAATTAGTGAATATACAAATAACATTTTAAAATGGCTAATTACAATCCTGTTTTATACATTGGAGCTGCATCCAAAAAGGAGCCAGTGTAAATTCTCTACGCACCGAATTTTATTTGTTTGGTCCAAATCCATGCCACGCCAACCTGGTCGTCCCCATGTTAGTCTAATCTACAAACGTCAAATTAAAATCTGTGCTAATCACAGAACCGTGTTTTTTGGGGTGGTGGTGGGTCAGACACGGTTTCGGGGGCGAGTCCCTCTTCAATGGGATTTATTAATAAAAGCAGTTCGGGGATAATGGAGAGGGGATCTGTGAATGGATATCCCAAGTCTATTTTTTTAAGTCGAAGGCTATCGGAAAAGAGTGGGCGCCAGACGTCGAGAGGGGGCGAGAGAGTTGGGTGCGCCATAGGACAGGAGTCCCAGTCTGCACCTTTCGTCTCACCGGCTCGTTGATGGATTTACACCCTGGGTCTTATCGTTCACGCGACTCCGCACCATCCCATTAGGTAAACATTTAATTTTTTTAAAAATTTATTTTTCCTGCGGGAAAAAAACCGTTCTGAACTTTTTAAAAAACCATTTTCCAGCGTTTCTTCTTACATGTGTTGGACCTTTCGCATCCTACGCACATTCCCAATTTTCGCCCCTGTTACGTTTCTGTTTCCTTTTTGTTCAAGTTTATTTTACTTTTGCTTTTATATATGAATATGTCTTCATCTTTATATAAACGGTTGTCCAAATTCAATTCCTTCTTATCAACACTCTTCTTCACACCCACATGCAATCAAATCTATTTTCTTTTTTGCTAATATTTGATACAAAATACAAAAATTGGTACAATCG